CAGCCCAAAAAGTGTATGTGGCCAGGGTAGAGGAAAATAAGAAGGAACAGACAAAGCAGAGTTCTGCCCTGAGGAAAGAACTTGCAGTTCCTAAACAATGTACTTGGCTTGCTGAGAAGTTGCAAGTTTCTAATGATTGACTTTCACACCGTGACAAGCTTAAATTTGAGATGTGAGTCCTGGTAAATTTTTATTGATTATTGCAACTCCATGGGAGTAAAATTAACTGTATCTGGCTTTAAGCTGTGATTAGTGAAACTTGCTGTTTGAGGTAAAAGGCTCTTGGGACTATAACTAATTTTGTTTTGAGTTTGAATTTGGGTATAGTTATCTGCATTAAATCAGTATCTGAGAGAAATGCCACAAGCACTTAGAGGGAATGTGATCCTGTACTGTTAACAGGTAAAGGTTTGCATCTGGGAAAAAGCCATGAGGACAATCTTAACCTCAATCTAGGATGGGATCCTCCTGGCTCAGTGTCCCCATTGTGTTCCTTTGAGAAGGAATGTTTCCCACTATTCCTGAGTCTGGCTATGATATGGAATTGATACTGTATGATTGGAGAACTGTGAATTTTATCTGAATTCAGACAGAGATCTTGTCATACTTGGCATGTCACATGTCCTTGCCTTTTCCTTTTATAGTAGATTTCTTTTTTTTTTTTTAAGGCAACTGGGGTTAAGTGACTTGCCCAGGGTCACATAGCTAGTAAGTGTTATGTGTCTGAGGCCAGATTTGAACCCAGGTCCTCCTGTCTCCAAGGTTGGAGCTCTATCCACTGCACCACCTAGCTGCCCCTCCATTTCCTATTTCAAGCTCAATAAGCCTCAGCGAGATGTTAGAGAACAGGCTGGTCTCAGGCCTCTGGCACAGTCCCTCTGCTGATGGAACCCAGGACCTAATTTACATGGGAACCCTTGACTTCTCTACATCTTTTCACACCAGAAGTCATTTTTTAAAAACCAAAAGTCAGCTCTTTTGTTAACATTGTTTGTTTTATCTAAATTATAAGTTTCACACTGATCCATGGCTAATAATAATAATAATAACAGCTAGGATTTACATAGTATATTAAGGTTTGCAAAATATCTCAAAGTTTGCAATAACATCCCAATAACCCTGGGAGATAGGTGCTATTATTGCTCCATTTTGCAGATGAGGAAGCTGAGGCAGATAGAATCTTCCAGACTCCAGGTTTCATGCTCTAGCCACTACACTGTGTATATATTTTAACACCTATTTCTTCTTTTAAGACTATGAATTTTTTCTTGATAAATTTCATCACTATGCTATTTGGTGTAAGAGGCAGCCAGCCTAGTGTTAGAATTGGAGGCAGGAAGACCTGGGACACTGAGAAGTTTGGGGATTTAATTTACCCAAGTAACTGTTGAAAACTGTCGTGTTACAGTTGAATTGCCAGTCTGCATGAGTGGAAGGAGTTTCTAATATTTGAGAAATTATAGGTAGATACAAAAAAAATAAAAAAATAAAAATGCAAGATCAAAAAATTATTGGCCATTATATATTCAAAATCAATACTACTGATTCTAATATCACATTAACAAATGGCATCAGTTCCTTGATTATCCCAACACTTTTTATAAAATTGGACTGTAGGGATAGCATTAATACAACTTGTGACTTTTGTGAGCCAGCTATAACATGATATATTTTAATCAATCCAATTTAATCATAAGGTACATCTCACATTAGATGTATTTCCCACAACACATATTTTTACAAAATCCATTCCATAACCCTTCTTCTTTTCTTAGGGAAGGCTATCACCATATGATGCAGTGCTAAAACCCCTAACAAGGGACGTGATTGAGGTTCATCTGTCCTTTTCCATTCTCCCATACTATATGAACTTACTTATTATATAGGCCCTGTAAAAAAGATCATAGACCCTCTGGGTAAATGGTCCTCTATAGAAAATCAATCCAACATGTGGAGGTCATCTCTCTCTCTCTCTCATATATATATGTATGTATGTATATATTTTAGCTAGGCAATGGGGTTAAAGTGACTTGCCCAAAGTCACACAACTAGCGTTATGTGTCTGAGGCCGGATTTGAACTCAGGTCCTCCTGACTCCAGGGCTGGCGCTCTAGCCACTGCGTCACCTACCTGCCCCCATCTTTCAATATTTCATGGGCACCCCTGCAACACTGGAACTATCTGTTTCCCTTTTCTCATTACATGACTCAGGTGACACCTCCTTCTGGATCTCCCCTCCCTGCCCATTGTATCTTACCTACTCTGTGTCCATGCAATAGCTCCACTAAAGAATGCAAACTCTTCGAGGACAGAGATCATCATTTCTTTATCTTTGTATTCTGTACACCCCCAGGACCCAGGGCAGTGCCTTACACCATGTCAGTGAGCCACTTCAGACGACACCCAAACCATCGGTCATATTCCAACTTCTTGTAGAGAAGTCTTGTGAGATCCTAATTTTCTAAATAATATGCTTCCTTCTAGCAGCTTCAAGGATACTTTCCTTTGTCATTGCAGTTTTGAAAACTAATGTGTATTTGGGTGGGCTGTTTTACTGGGGAGCTTCTGCAAATGGCTCCATACAATTTTCCATTCTGTTCAGTTTCATCATGATAATCACCTGAAATTTCTAGCTTTATCTAGTTATTTTATTCCTCTCTCCCAGGCTGATGTAGCTGTCCTAGCTTATCCTTCTAATTCCTTATGTGTAGGTTTTCCCTCCTTTTTGTGGTCATTTCCTTTAGTTCCTTCATTGTACATAATCCTGTGTGTGTGTGTGTGTGTGTGTGTGTGTGTGTGTGTGTGTGTGTGTGTGTGAGAGAGAGAGAGAGAGAGAGAGAAGAGAGAGAGAGAGGAGGGAGAGAGAGAGAAAGAGACAGAGAGAGAGAGAGAAAGAGACAGAGAGAGAGAGAGACAGAGAGACAGAGAGAGAAGGAAGGAGGAAGAGAAGAGTAGGAATCTTGAAGGCCCTCTATAAAGTTTTGCACTGATGCTTTTCTGAGATACAACATGACACCGGATTTCTTTACACCAAGCCTGCACGACCTGTGGCTTGTGGGCCACTTGCCGCATGCCAAAGGATTTCCTCCACATACCAAGGTCCTCTGGCGTGCAGCAGTTTGTGCAGGCCTGTTCTATACATATGCCAGGGAAGCTCTCAATACCGGCTCAGCAGTGAATGCATCTTTGGAAGAGCAGCCTAGCTAAACTGTGAATCAATAAGCATTCACTAAGCACTTACTCTATGCCGGGTACCGTGTTAAGCACTGGTGATGCAAAAGCTGTCAGTGAAGGGGATTACTTTTTCAGCCATTGCCATTTTTGAACAAACACCATCTCCCCATCTGGGGTGGGATCTCAACATACAGTAATGGAAAGGATTCCAGTAGTAATAAAGTCATTGAGTGGTGGGCCAGACTCTTGCTCTGTTTTACTGTTGCCTCATTTTGGCCACAGGTCCAGTAGCTTTGTTATCTACCTTCTCGGCCCATAACAGATTCAGAGCAGTAAATCAGGTGTGGGTGAAGGGGAGGTGGACAGCTGTGTAAGGATTAGAACAGCACAGCTTGGTCTGGGGCTACTTAACATAAGGGCCAGTGGGTATCTACACCTCAAGAGCCTGTGGGTTTCCCTGTTGTGTAAACGAAGCATTAGGGTCTTGGCTTGAGGTGCTCAGACCTGGGTTCTAATCTGCTCTGCCACATGAAGGACCTTGGCCAAGTCTCTAAATCCCTGTTTCCTAAGTTACAAAATGGATAAGAATATTTTCCCTGCTAAATTTATACTTATTCTGTATCAAATGAAATAATTCTGGGAAAGTTCTCTGGAAAATTGTAAAGTGGTGTTGTAATGAAATACAATATGCTAATATAATTACATCATTATTACAGTAATTATTGTCAATCATGTATCTGAGCCTGTTGTCAGTCAACCCACAATACTATGTGCCAGACACTGTGCGAAACACTGGGGATACAAAGTGAGGCAAAAGAACCTGAGGAGCTCACAATGTAAAGACTGGGAAATGCAAGCGTGCGTCCATGGGGAGGTGGTGTATATGTACACACACACACAATATACACATACGTATACACACACACACACACACACACATTCATTTAAGAATTGACATAAAGGACAGGTTTAAAAGTTTTCTGTACTCAGAGCAGGCAGATTCCTGAAGAAGCTGGAACTCCAACCTCAGAACCCCCAGCCCTGGTATCTTGGCCAGTTCAAAGTTGGCATGGCATGGCAATGATGACAGACTTGGACAAAAAGAGTCACTCCAGCATTTGGAAGGGGCGCAACCACAGGCAGATCCAGTACTCATCCAGAACTGAGTACTTTGGCCACCTGATTCACAGAGCAGTGAGGAGAAAACCACTTTGCATGCCATTTTAACCTGCCCCATGGCCCCCCACATTCAGCACCTCCAATTGCTGCATGGCGTCTTATGTTGTTTTCTTGTATTACCATTTAACTTCCAAGTGTGTGCATGCGTGTGTGAATGGATGTGCAGGGGTGCACGTGCAGCTCCACACAGGACCCTGGCACAGTGCTGTATCCAGAGAAGGAAGGCAATGGTAAACATCATTGACAAAACGCTGCCCAGCACGCACATTGCCCTGAATAAGACTAGCAGAAGCAGCCCCACTTGTTGGGAAGTGTTAGGAGCCTGGCGGCCTCCACGCGTTCTGGCACCAAGTCCACATGAAAAGGTTTCCAGATGTAATTCCTCACATGGGTATGCAGGGTTGGGCGACCCTTCACTTTCAGCCACCAGGGGAGAAGAGTATGCATTTCTTAAGTAGCCCCCAGGTGCTGAGGGGCGAACATCATTAAGACAGGGTGGGAGGCCAAGAGCTGGGTTAGCCCCAGTAGTTGTGGGGGGACAGCCCAAGATTTGCCAGAGAACTGGCGGTGATCTCAGCAACATCAAAGGGATACAGCTGGATGTTTCTACTTCTACAAATGAAAGGAAAACGCAGTTTAAAATTTTGTAGGTGAGAAAACTTTGTTTTGAAATTTTATTAAAAAAATATACTTGCAAACATACAAAATTTAGGATGAAAAACGCTCAGTTTAAAACATGTAATAACTTAATATTTGCAAACACACATGGATGGTAGAAAATTCATATAATAAAAAAAGTTAGTGATGCAGTATCGATGTCAAAAAGAAAAGACCCATTTCCAGAGATTCTTACGCCCACTTCCTAAGAAGGGAAGCACACAGTATACATTCATGAATGCTTGATGTTTGGAACAGCATGTCGTAAGAATGGGAAGTAGAGATTAAACAGTAACATATACAAAAAAATCAGAAACCATTTCCAATGTACTTCTGGTGAATCAATCAAATAGAATGACCAAAAGAAAATGATATCGTCTCACTTAAAAATGAATAACGCATCTTAACAGTTTTGATGACGTCAAATACAAACTGGAGGTGAAATATATTGCACACATTTTTCCTAAATTAAGCGGAAAAACAAATCAGGCCAGGATCTGGGCCCCAGGGCTGATCATCCTAAGTACAGGTCTGAGGCCCTGATACCTTTCCTTAATATTTAAATATGTTAATCCAAGCGGCATTATTGGCCTCACAAAGGAACCTTGAATAATAAAATGTCAACATAAAGCAAATGTTTGCTCAGCAGCAAATGTGCAAGAAGCCAGTTATTCATTCTTTGTTCAGTGAAACAACTCGAATCAAGCGGTAAGCGGCTTCACCACGGCCCTGCTCTAGAGCTTTTCCCAAGGTCCCCTTCCAGTGGGTGGCTTTGACTTCCTTAGGCCTCCTGTATCTCTCCGTCTTCCCTGTGAGCTGCAGCACAGAAGCCACTATCTGCACTTGGTAAAATGAAAAAAAAAATCTGGACTAGGTTCTTCAGGGAAAAGAAAAATAAACCGGCAGGTTTAAAAATAGCTTTTTGGTAGAAGGATGAATGTGGCTTTCTTTTTTAAAAAAATATCACTGGAGAGAAGAACATGAAGTGCTTGGGTAGACAGAATTTGTTTGGAAAGAACTCTTTCTAACTTGGCTTCTGCATTCTTGGAATAAGTAAAATCCAAATCAGCTCTTTTTAGTGAAAACAATACATCCCTGTTCACGATGCTAATGAGTCTCTGGGAAGCCCTCCTTGCAGAAGGGAGTCTGTCCCAAAGGCCAAGGAGGCTTTCCTGTTCTCAAAGCTCATTGGAGATGCCCTGGAAAGGGGAGTGATCTGTCTGGGGAGGTGACTGCACTGGAGAAGGCTAGACAGCAGGACACACCTTGGACGCTCGTTCAGCGGCTGCTCGACCAGGATCACACAGCTGAGCGAGACTTGCCTTCGCGAGACTTGCCTTCATAGCACTCAGTTCAATCTTCGGTTTTAAACCTGTGAGGATTTATCCAAAACACTGCCAAAAATGTAAACAAGCGACCCAAGCTGGCACAAGGTTCTGGACAGTTCAGTTGGAGGAAGTAATAAGGCGACTGAGTTACAGCTTTCAAGCAGGGTTGACCAACAGCCACTACCCAGAGAGGTTGGCCTGCCCTATCCAGAGACTCCTGCCTGAATTACTTCAGGGAATATGGCAGCGTAGACCTGGCTTACGCATTATAAATAATTCTAATATGTAATTATAGAGGTTAAAACTAAATCATCTCTTTAAAATCTCCACAGCTTGGGCACTTAAAATTTCAATGTTTCACATGAAGGAAACCTGGTTTCCTTGGATTAGCTATTTAAAAGATGTAAGCATGTGGAACAAATCACAGAAACTTGTCAGAGATGTTCTCTCCAGAGATTTCTCTCTGCCTTTCCAATGGGCTCCAGATGCCATTTTATTTTAGGCCTCTGTTACGAGTCGCTAGCTGCTTGCTGATCAGTCTGATAGTATAACACAGGCTGCACTGTGATCAGACCCTCATCCGTCAACTTACCAAAGCACCCCATTTTGCTGGACCAGACACGGGATCCTGAGACTTATGATTCTCTTGTTCTCTCTTTCTCGGCTGACCCAAATCATTTATTTTTGGCTGTCAAATGTATACGCTGTCTCGGAAGGCAAAGTACTGTTAGAGTGGGCACTCTCCCTTGTCTCCCTCCCTGAATTCAGCCCAGGGTCATCAGCAAGACTCAGGACCAGGACAGGCAAAGCTGGAAGCTCATTAAATAAAGCAAAGCCAATAAAACCAAGTCCTTTCATGCAGAGAAATGAAGGCCAAGCTAAAGTTATTTAATATACTTAATATATGTCACCTACAGAAAACTCTGCTAGAAAAACCGATGACTGAGTTGCCTTGAAAGCTCACCAGCGCGTTTCCAAGAACAATCTGGAGTTTCCCAGTGTTACCCACAGCGTCTTCCGGATGGCAGCCGGAACTAGGTGGGCTTCTCACCCTGAAGTCATTAGGACCGTGCTCGGAAAAGTGAGCTGTGCATCTTACGTGGTTACAAACGACAAAAGAACTGTCTCGTGTAAACCAAGACACTGATTCCAAAGTCGACTGTAAAATGACTATTGCTGAAAGCAATGGGAATCTACATTACGAGGTCACATGCCCTATGGGAACAGACACAAGCCACACGAAGGAGTGAGAGCAGCACCCAAGGTGCCTTTACACGCCATCTGGATACCTGGGCTGGAGGGCGCCCATAGGGGCAGCAAGTCCACCGGCCAGGCTCAGAACTTCATCCATCCGCTCGTGCCGAACTCGGCATTTCACTCCGACATGGCATGATGGGTGTGTCCCTGCTCCCTTTCCTGCATAGCTTTATTCCTATTAAGTCAAAGGTGTGAGGAACAGTCGGACCCCAGGGGTCATGTTGTATTGGTTCAATGGTTGGTTTTTTCCTTATAGTTAAGAAGAGGGATCTAAATTGTTTTGAACTCATGCTTAGATAGAAAAGGACAATGAGGTTACACTTAGTAGTAGTTTTCATGTATAAAAAGAAACTTGATATCTCCTTTAAAACCACCTGGCAGTTAAAAAAATGTTTTTAAGCCTAATAGGATTTTGGCTCAGCCAACTGGCCAATTAAGTAAAAGTGGAACCTAAGTAAAATATGAAAACCAAAGGGTAATTCTCACACCAGCAGCCAGATTTGTTATGGTCTGGTCAGTATTAGGAAAACAATTAAAAAATAATAAATTGTTACCATGAAATTTCAGGACCTTAAGGCCCAGTGATACCATTCTTATCCAATAACCTTGCAGTTGAACAAGAGTCATAAATACATCTTCAGCTTAGGTGGGACCAACAAACCGGAAGCTATTCTGCATTACAAAATTTCCATCTTATCCGAGTTTCACTAGCAGGTCAAATCTTAGGAGAAGGAGGCTAAAGGCGACTCCCTTTTGGAAGCAAATGGTCTTTGCAAGGTGGAGCACTGTATGAGGTCCCCGGGAGGAGCACTTTACTTCCCAGGCTCACTCCAGAGCGAGCAAGGACTAGCCCCACCCCGTATGTCTTCTGAATGGGGGGGGGAGGTGGGGGAGCACACATCTCCATCCTGGTGTGCCACACATGCTTGATGCTGATGAAAAGGCCCACACAATTTTCCATAAATGGTCTTTGTGTTTCCCACTAAAATAAAGGGCTGCTGGTGATGCTTCACAGTGAAATCTCCATCATTTCTGAGAACATAACCTTAAAAATATTCTTTAAGAACAAGTCTCTCTTTCTCTCTCTCATAGGCTCGATTTCAGGACTTTCCAGATGAAGCGCTGCTTCTTTAAAAATGAAACCTCTCATACCAGTTCCATCAATGAGGTGCGTTTGTTTCTAAGCAGACATCCATCCCCTCACACAGAGTGCCCGGTGGCTTCAGCTCAGGTCATTAGAGCTGCAGGTTATTTATGTTCTTGGTCAGGACTTGCAAATAGACTTCGTGAAGCGTGCTGAGAAAGCTGGCATCGTTCTGTGGGGGAGAGAGAGGGGAACACGCAGCTCTGGTAACAGGTAACACGGTCAAACCTATGTTAGATCCGACTGACACCAAGTATGAGCTCAGAAAAGACAACAGACACACCGAGAATGTGACAAAAGACCGCCAACAGGTGTCTCAACAAAGTTATTGCCTTGGACACCTGCTGCCTGGGCAGTCGTGGGCAAGGCCCAAGGCTGCGCTCCAAGACCCCAGCTGGAAGAGAAGACGCTGAGCCCACTCCCTTCCTAAACAAAACTCGGCTGTGAAAATGAAGAGGAAGGAAGCGTGGCACGGGTGTATGGAGGTGGTTCTTGCCCCATCCGCAGCCCAAAGCCATGGACAGCAAGGGGCTCACACCAGCCACATCTGTGCCTTGGCTGCAGCCTGGCCCCGTGACACCCAAGCCTAATTCCATGAGAAAAACTGAGGTTCTCTGGAACCAACAGCATAAGCATCCTGTTAACCCACAGCTGTGCTAGGAAACATCAGGTGGGATGCAGTGACCTGGCCTGCTCTGGAGCCAGGCCTCCCCTCCTGCCCTGCTGGCTGCCACCTCCCAGGCTGAGGGCAGAGGCTGGTGATGGACACCGCACAGCATGCCCGCAGCCCACGTCAATCACGCTCAGCTCAGGCTGACTCAATGACTGGTGCGGCCAGGTGTGGGAGGCACTGCAGGGGGGTCAGCACCTGCCCACGAGTGCTGCTTTAGAAACCAGGCCTGAAGCCCAAGAGGAGCCTGCACAGAGGCGCACAGCTTCTAATAAGCTGGAATCCATTTTGCCTTTAGACTCCAAACCAGATGTTAAAGCAAACAGAACTGGACCAATAACCATGGGGGAGAAGGGAGCCTCGGTCAGCCGACTCTGGCCTCCCTAAGAAGGAAGGCACAAAACACCGAAGCAATTACCTTGATTAGATGTATTAATGTGTCCTGGAGCTGAGACCGGCTGAGAATCAAAGGAGGTTTTGTCGGATGTTCTGAGGCCCCGCCTGCCCGAGAAGGGGAACCAGCTTTCTTCTCTAGGTCTGGGGGTTTTGTCGCAGACTGCTGGAAAACACTGGGCGACAAAAGGACAGAAGAAGACGCTGATGTTGTTGACGTAATGAACTTGGATGACGAAACCTGCCATGAGAGGAAGGCGGTAAGAGACCAATCAGTGAAGGAGAGATTAGGCAGAAAGGAAACATTCTCATGAACGTGAGCTATAAGACCAGGAAGGAATTAGGAGAAAATAAGATCTTAAAACCACACGCTTCACGAATATACATTTGGTGGAAGAGTCTGAAAAATTAATTCTTTCCAGTTTATTAAATTCTCCGTTATCAACAAAGGATGAAAAAAATATTTTCATCCCTGGAACGATCTTGGAGTCGTTACAAGATACTGAGATTCAATCATCTTGAACCGAAAGGAGCTACACGGCATAATGAAGAGCACCGTGAGACTGTCCTATGAGAAATTAGCGACAACGGCTAGCCCTTCACGCGGCGCTTTGTGGTCTGCAAAGCACTTAGAAATATCCTCTGATTTACTCCTCATGACGACCCTGTGAGGTAGGTGCTGTTATTATCTCCATTTTACAGAGGAAGAAACAGAGGCAAAAAGCACTTGCCTGAACTCGGGTCCTCCTGACTCTAGAGCCAGTGTTCTATCCACTGAACCTCCTGCTACAACAAAGAACAGCACAGACTCGGTCCCACAACCCAAAGGCCCTTCCCGGCTCAGCCATTCAGGTGAACAGACCCTTCCGGATGGCCTACTCTGAACGCGGCACTGCGCCAGGCCTCGTGGATACGGGTCCTCCCCTCAGCCGAGGGATGCAGAAGAGCTGCACAAGCATGCCCCGTGCACAGTCCGACAGCATAAGGACAGGAGAGGGTGGCCAAGTGATCTGAGGAAACACAGGGAGGGAGGGATCACTTTTGGCTGAGGGGATCCGGGCCAGGCTTCAAGAAGGCCTGGGTGGTGCCTGAGTCAAGCCTGGAAGGAGAGGGCGGATTCAAATAGGCAAGCAACAGGCGTTTATTACGTGCCTACTGTATGCCGGGCACTGGGGATACAAGGACCAAGTAGGAACTGCCCGTCTGCATCAGGAATAAACACAAAGCAGCTGATGCTGAACAGCTGGGCTGTGGCTCTCAAAGCTGGCAGAGTTTGTATTGTGAGAAGGAGGCTTTGGAGCTGCCCACACAGAGGAGTGACGTGCCTAGAAAAGACCTCTGGCAGTTGGGCAGAGGATGGACTGTGGAAGAGGGGTGAGGCCGTACATGCGAGGGGGAGAGTCACAGGGGAGAGGGGTGTGAAAGGAGGAAAAGCAGCCTTGGGCAGCTGATCTGATCTAGGGGTGCAGCAGAGGGAGGAGGCCAGGAGGCTGGCAGGGAGTGGAGGACGAGATCTTTCGGGGACACTCTGGGTTTGAGACATCTCCGGTCTATTCAGTTTGACAAGTGTGAGTTTGTGTCGTTGAGAGGCTGGTGCTCAGGTAAGATGGGGGCAGCTGGGAGCCCTGGGCATCACTGAGAGAGAGAGGAACACCTGGTCAGCAAGAACCGTAATGCCCAGGGCACGCAACCACACACAGCACAGAGGGCTGGGCCATTTCCACAGCTCCCCAGCTGCCTGTCTATCCTAGGTGTTTGGGGGCAACTGCCGTCTTGCCTTTCTGCTGCCTATCAAGCATCTCGGCTGGAAAAGAAAGGCAGAAAGGGAAGGGAAGAAAAAGAGAAGAAGAAGAAAAGAGGTCAAAGGAGGTGAGGCTTACATTCGGATCCTCTCGGCCAAAATGTTAGACCAAAAGGTCTCCTTGGTCACCCGCTAACCAAAGAGATCTCAGACGGAGAAAGACCATCGATGCTCTCCAGGCATGGCTAGTTCTGCAGGCCCACACATACCCACAGAAATCACGAAGGGGAAAATATGCCTGCCTTGAGTGCAGGGGTGGGGCCTGGCTGGCTGGCTTCCCTGGGACCAAGGCTCACATGCTTACCATGACGTCCCTGGGGAAAACCATGGGCAGGCAGCTGCTTCAGGGCCCCGACTTTACTACACAAGGCTACTACTATGTCAAACAGAAATGAAAGCTGCAGTTCATGGCAACTACTGAGCTATCTCCAGACTCCCTGGTGGAAAATGTGTTACAAATCAGGGCTAGTTGGGATATTAGGGACTTGTGGAATTCCAATGATACAGAAAGGAAAGGTGAGGCAATTGGGGTTAAGTGACTTGCCCAGGGTCACATAGCTAGTAAGTGTCAAGTGTGTGAGGTCACATTTGAACTCAGGTCTTCCTGACTCCAAGGCCAGAGCTCTATCCACTTCGCCACCTAGCTGCCCCTCAGAAAGGAAATTTGTGACATCCTACCCAGAATGTTACCCACAAAGTTAAACTGCTAAATAGAAAGCCCTGGGAAAAGTTCAGTTGCAAATTTCTTGCAATAGTCCTGGAACTATAACAATCACAAGGGCCAAGGAACCTGATGAAAACTTTGCCACTAAGTTGCACTGACACGGCAAACTGGCGATGACGTCTCCTGTTTTATAAACTGGCGTAGTGTTTCTTTACGTATGGGGAGGGCTCCCAGTCTTCGTCACAGGCCATCAGAACGACACACAGTCACAATCTCTTCCATGGAGCTAAATAAGGCAGTGGCTTGTGGGAGAGCAAAGAGCTACCTGCAAAGCTCCAAACTAAGAAACTCCAAGGGCCACAATCTGGCAGAAGAGCATATCCACCTAACTCCTCTGTCAGGAAGGACGCTCCCATAGAGAACAGCAAATACCTGATCCACCAGCGATCCGGGGGCAAGGCCACGTAGGGCAGGGAAGATGACTGTTCCCCGGCTGGCCCTTGTCAGACAGAGGCCCTCCTTTCCAGGAGCCCATGAGACTGTGCAACGTCACACCTGCCTAGGGGCGCAGCGCACGAGGCAGAGAGAGCCCCTCTCTGCCCTCACAATCTCCTCCTGTCCTAAAAAGGCCCTATCACCAGTCAGGGGTGAAAACGAAGCAGAAAAGGACGAGCTGCTAACCCTAGAGCGTCAGGACCCTGGGTCTGGCAGGTTTCTGGGCTGGGCTCCAGACGAGAGCTTCGCTCGTCTCCTTTTCTCTGTCAGGATGTGTGGGTTCCTGTACCTTCTTTTTGTCTCAACTGTCTAGCTTGAGAGAGCATGAAACTGAAGTCACTCGTGCAAACAAGATCAGGGCTGACCAGCAACGCAAAATGACCCCAAACTATAAGACAGGGCTCTCTGAGACCCTACAAGTGGACGGGCCAGGATGTCACGAGCCGCTCATCGAGGCATTGCCCCCCTGCACGCCTGTGCTTGGTCTCAGTCCCCAGCCTGAGCCGTTCTCACCACTGATCCTGCTTACCTCTGGCACCCTCTGTGCCACTCCTCTCAACTCTTCAGTATCTCTTCCTCCCTAGTCTACTGTGAACCTGACCTGAGCCTCATCCCGTCTCATCCAGGGGCCCATCACCTTCCCCAGCCAAGCCCCAACTCATGCATCTGAAGGGCCTCCCTCTCTCTGGGCTTCTCGTCTGCCTACAAATATGGCCACACTTCCCATCCACTTGGGGCACCTCAAGTGACCATGTTCTGACCTTCACTGGTAGCTTCTGCTTCCTCTCCGCACTCTCTGGTCTCCACTCTCGCTATTCCTAGTGAAGCCCTTCTCTCCACAATGGCTAAAGTGTTCGAGTGTCAAACCCTTTGGCTTTGGGGCAATCTTCCTCCTTGCCCTTTCAGCAACGCTGGATAGCACCGGCCTCCTTTCCTGATCCTTTGACTCTTGTGACAACATCCTCTCCCTTTTCCTCTTCCTACTTTTTTTTTTTTTTTGCTTTTTGGTGAGGCAATCATGGTTAAGTGACTTGCTCAGTGACACAGCTAGCAAGTGTCAAGTGTCTGAGATGGGATTTGAACTCAGGTCCTCCCGACTCCGAGGCTGGAGCTCTATACACTGCGCCACCTAGCTGACCCATTCCACTTTCAACACTAATGGATCCCCTTCATCTTGATGCTCTGCCAAGACCTCAAAATCCAAAGTCCAAACCTGCCCTCACCACCCCTGCCCAGAACGCTTCCCTTCCAAGCAGTCACCCCTGTCCTTTCCTGTTCTCCACACTCAGGCACTGTCACCATTTACTCAGACTGCAGCAACGGCCTTCCCCAACCAGGCTCTCCCTTCTCCAGTGCCTGCATCATACCAGGAACTTTACATACCTCATTCAGGCTTCTCAAGCACCTTGGGAGGCAGGAGAGGCCAGGAAATGAAGGTGACAAAGGTCAGGTGATTTGCTTAAGGCTGGTTAGTGGCAGAGATGGGATTTGAACCCAGGCCTTTTGACTCCAAATCAGCAGTGTTTGCACCTGCCCACATCTGCCATCTGGCTGCAGCTACCCTTTCCAGCCCCACTCTCTCCAGTAGCTCCTCCTTCTGCTTGGCATAATTACGGATGACATTTGCGCCACAGTTATGGGTCCTGCAAAGTCATAAACGTGACAGCCAGGACCTCTCTGAGAATGAAATGCCCTGTGGATCTTGCCTGTGGCAGTGAAGCCGATCCACCTTGCCAGGACAAGGGGGTGGCTAGCCTCGATGCCCTCCAAGGTCCCTTCCCTCTCTAAATCTATGATCACGTGCCCCAATCTCCTTCCTCTTTGCATCCCCAGGGCCCAGATGGAATGGCCTATTCAACTGACTCCTACCATGACCCATTATCTTTTATTTGGTCTCTCACCTCCTTTGTGGAAATTATGCATACTGAATTCAGAGGGAAGACCCTTCAGGACCTAGAAACAAATTGGATGCAGGAATAAGCTCCCACTCTCACAGATTACTCAGGGAGAGGGCTCTGAGGCCCAAATCTCAGTCTCTGAGCTCAATCGGAGCTGACTCCTACCTTCAGGGAAGGCCTCCCAGCAATGCCGAGCGTGGCTGTGGCCCCTCTTCTTCTGGTGTGAGGCTCTCTGAAGCTCTCAGGGGTTGCGAGCTGGCTCGCTGACGAGGCAAAGTGGGGTGCGATGGGGTTCTTGGGGAGTGCCGATGGCTGTGGTGTCAGTTGGAGCTTGTGCAGAAGGCTGGCACTTGAGGTGCCCCCTGGGCCTGTGCCACTCAGCGGGGCCACCAAGGGGCTCTGGGCAGCAATCAGATTCCGGGCCTTGGGCCTCAGCTCAGGTGCCGGCTGGGTGAGAAGAGAAGACCGCTGCTGGGCAGGCTTTTTCATGGTCGGGGAGCCAGAGACCTCAGCTGCTGGAGCTGCCTTCACGATGGGACTCCTGGGGACCGCGCAGCTTGATGAGATCTTCCTGTCAGGTGGGGCCAGGGGGGCAGGAGTCTCCTGCTGCCCCACGCTGGGGCTGCTGGGCTGGACGAGGGGATTTTCTGGCTGATGTGCTCCTCTTGATGACTCAAAAGAAAACGGCGAGAACAAGTCATACTCTTTGGGGGAGGCGTCAGCTGGCAACTTCTCGGCTCCTTCTGAATTGGGATATACGATTGTTGGCTGTTCCTTTGGCAACGAGGTTCCGAATAATTCTTCCACTGTGAGGTGCTTGTGCCCCGATGGGGCAGGCTGCAAAACAAGAACACCACTGAGAACCAGGCCAAGCAATAAGCTTTCCTACCACGCAACAGTCTCAGGAATGGTCTTTGTCATAAGCAAAAAGGAAGCCTGAGAACAAGAAAACCTAAAAACATCTGATGCTCTTGGGACCCTGGGCAAGGTACCTTTAACATGCCCATGAGAAACCATGGCACAACTGGCTTTAATAACTGGGGTTCCATTTTGGAGACTCTGCTTCTGTGAAATATAGGTGGCTGGCATTAAGGGAAGAGGGTGGCCTGGGATCTAAAACGCTGTGAGTTCAAACATGACCTGAGACATTTACTAGCTGTGTGGTCTGTGGCAAGCCTGAGCCTCAGTTTCCCCATCAGTCAATAGGGTTAATCAATGACATAATGCAAATAACCCTGCAAAGCTTGAGTGCTTTACCAAAGCCAGTGGTTGTTCCATCCACCACAGAACTTACAGAGACTTATTTTAGTAAATAAGTGTAAGTGGAAAAAATTCTGATCTGGATTCTAGCTCTCCACTGTTGATTATTAAAAAGATCCAGACCTGGGCAGACCACCTGAACAACAAAGGGAGGTCATCAAGTACATGTGTACAGAGTATGGATGCACCGTGTACTCAAAAATAACTCAAGGACTCAGCAGTTAGACAGAGAGCCCAATAATGATGAGGAAACAAACTCCGGCTTTGCCTTTTAGGACAGGCCGCCTTAGCCAGAACATTCAGCTGATTTGGTCAACAGACCACTGAGGATCCATAAGAAGCCTTGATTTGGATGAAATTGTAAGGCTAAGAATGAAAAGTTCCCATATTATCACTGTAGGAACTGCCTTCTTTGCTACTGGAAGCTCGTCAAAAGAAAAGGCCCTCATGATTCCATCTGTAACTGACTTCTCCTATTCTGAAGACAGGCAGCCCCCCGATTCTCAAATGGGTCCTGTTTCAAAAGTTCACTTCCAATGTTTCTACAGAACAGTGTTTTCTACCCATTGTATTAAATGATTTCTTACTGCCAAACCCCCAGGTTCAAAGATCTAGAAGTGGGAGGGATCCTTGAGACCACCCATGCCAACCCCTCACTTTAACAAACAAGGCAATGGAGGCTCAGAGCATTGCCCAAGTCAGGGCTGGCAGGCAGCAGAGGCAGGGGTCAAAGCTAACACGTAATCTTCTATACCCCACGGCTGCCTGTAAAAGCCCTTCATGAGCCATCCTGCTGCTCTCCTCTCCCAGATGAGGCAGATCAGATCTAGCTCCTTGTAAGCTCTCTGATGTGTGCCCCTCCTTCTAGTCACTCAGCTGCTGGACAATCACAGACCTTCACAGTCACCACTCACCTACTCTACTTGAATAGCTTCCTCATCAGCTGCATCCATTCTCTTGGCTGCCAAAACAACCATCTTCCTAAGGCCTAACAACAGTACAAGCACAGCATTTGCAATTGAAGAGTCTGGGTTCCAATTCTGGCCATGCCACCAAATAACTGTGCTTGGGCAAATCACTGCAGCTGCGTGAGCCTCTTTCTCCATCTGTAAAGTAAAGGGGGGGATCTAGGTGCCCACTAAGGTCTCTCCCAGTTCTAAATCTATGACCCTGTGATTCCTGTTTCAAAGTTTCCAGTGGTTCCCTATCACCCCCAGGATAAACTATGAAATCTTTAGCTTAGTCAGTGAGGCTCCAACTTCTCCACATCCCATGACTTCTCTCTCAGTCCCTTCACACTGCCCAACCATCCCATTAGATGCTGCTGGAATGCAACACTTCATGGCCTGTCCCCATGCATCTGTGGAAGCCCCCCCAACCCCCCCAGCCTCTTCAGACAGAACTGCCTTGTCTCATCTCCTCTGGAGGAGACCATCCTTGCTGCTGCCTCCTTCCACGACCTTGTCTCTGCTCAGCAGACAGTGGACATGCCTCCACCCTCCCAATAGGAAGTGAGCTCTGAGTGGGCAGGAGCTGGTTCCCTATGGCATCTGTAGTCCCTCGACACAGGCCCTTTCACAACAAAGCCACTGAACCAGCAAGTTATAAAGTGCACGATGTACTGTCAGTAAATACTAAAGTAATATTTTCCTTGGGCCAACTAAATTGAAGCTAGTCTATTTTTGTCTAATTAAAAGTTGACTCCAAGTCACAGTGACTCCAGTTGTTGAAAACATCTGACTGACTGATTATAGGCACTGCCAGGAGGGGCCAATGAACCAAGATATTTCCTCCTCTGGCTGGGTGAGCTAGAGGCTGACCGCGAGTTCTGCTCAGTCCCTTTCTCTGCAGCTAACTCCACACCCCAAGGTTTGGACCTGGAAGGGGCCCCAAGCCCTCATTTTACAAACAAGAAAACCGAGGCCCCAAACCACCCAGGCAGTGAGCGAGCGACCAGCAGGGTCAGGATCGGAACCCCTTTCCCTTCGCTCTCAGTTCAGCACTCATTCTCTTCCATCAAACACCAAAGGGATGCTGAAGGCTATAGAAACAGAGCAGAATCTGCCAGCTCCTGCCAAGACAGAACACAGCGTGCTGCCTGTGCACTCAGCCCCAGCCATGGAAGGCAGAACAGGCTTCTCACCTCCAGCTCTGGCCTCCAGTCAGTGACTCATGAACCAGACAAAAACACTCACCCTTCCCCCGGGGCTATAACATGCACCACCTGAGTCAGGGGTCTTTGAAGTACTGAAGTGCTACTTGAAGGTCATTTCAAGGAAGGAGCCATTGTTGGAGAGTCAAAATTGGATGTAAAAACTGCGAAACTGCTTCATATAGAACAATGTCAATCATTTGGGCCAATAATTAAAGAAAAGGTAAACATCAAGCTTGACCACTCTATTCCTGTCTCATCTGAAGGACGCTGCTCTTTGATGAATTCCATGGCTGCCCTGGGGATTTAGTCTATTAAAATTAAATGTCATACCCTTGTTGCCACCAAAGGCACCATCTTGACACTAGACAAAGCAAGCCTTCTTCTCACCATAATCACCCTTTTTTCTTCTCTCTCATGAATGAGTACTTTTCCACCTGCCCACCAGGCTAGGACAACAGTCCCCCAGGGAGGGAACTCCAGAGGAAATCAGGGAGCTGACTGGTGGTTTTCTTGGACCATTACTTGTTCTTCCCCACTAGATGGCGTGGTGACTAAACAGACACTTGGGCCTGGTTAGTCTGCTTATCACAGCAGAGATGATGTCAAGTTTCACCTTCACTAAAGAAATATGCTTTACGACCACACGTGGACGATGTGAGAGTACAGGAAACTGAGGGACGTACGCAGCGTCAGGTAAGCATCCAAAAGCACACCAGGAGATTTTGTTAGTTTGGACTCTGTGATGTGGAACTTTAAACAACTAACAAATCCTTTTACTCCACTCTAGTCCAAACAATTATAAGATGAACAGCATTTAGGAAATCCATCAAGAGATGCCCTCTTAGATTGTCCATCTATTAAAAGTCACACCTCTCAAGGGAAAGCCACAAACTGCCAGTCAGGCTGCAATGCAGGACTCAAGGAACAGGGCCAGGGGCTGCACCTGGAAACTCCTCTACCAGGGCAGGCCGACAACTCACAATCTCAGAGTGTTAAGGGACCTTCCTAGGGTCACTGAGCCAGAACGGGTTGGGCGTGTGTGTGTGTGTGGCTAGAACTCACATCTTCTTGGCTTTAAGGCCAGCCTCTCTATCCACAACAGGATGCTGCTTCTCACCATTTAAAAGTCTATAAAATTAGGAGGAGCATTTGTTTCTGTGAAAGGCAGTACAGCAGTACAGAGAAGTAGCCTGGGCGTTAGAAGCTCTGAGTTCAAGTCTTCCCTCTGTCACACACTGGAGGAAGTCATTAAGTCTCTTAGGGCCGAGACGGGGTGGCGAGCTGCACTGGTAGAGACCTCACTAGGAGGTCTCAATGCTAATGAGATTTTAGGTGGGGCTCCCATCTCTACACTCTGTTTTGTAGCACATAACGTTCATCTCTGAGACCTTCTAATTGATAAGGGGAGAGTCAGGGACTTAGCACACATCAAAGACTTACGGATAATAGCTCCTACCTGTCCGAGTCTGATTTGGGGGTGGGGCAGGGCAATCAGGCTTAAGTGACACACAGCTAATGAGTGTCCGAGGCTGGATTTGAACATAGGTCCTCCTGACTCCAAGGCTGGTGCTCTATCCACTGTGCCACCCAGCTGCCCCTAGAATCTGATCCATAAGAATCAGATGTTTATTCTGTCTTGCTGGGAACAAGTTCTAACTTTAGGCAGACACACCTTCTCCTGTGTTTGTAATCCCGGGGACGTCTCTTCTGATGTCTCCTCAGCACTGCCAGGGTTTGTGAGGCGAGCACTTGGTTGTAACCCAGGGCTTGAGATGGTTGAGTCCGTAATTTGATTCTTTAAAAAAAGAAAAAGGAAAAAAAAATCATTCCATAACTATGGTGACCCAGTTCTCCACAGGAGCTCTCCAAATTTGGGAATAAGAAAGCTGCTTATATTTAATTAAGGAGAAATTTTAAAAGCCCATTCCTGTGTATGCTAAAATAATAATTTCTAGGAACTTTTGTGAGATTTGCTCCAGGAAATAAAATTTTAGCAATAATTTACTCTATTCCTACTAATGGAAAAACCCATGATTATGCTTCAGTTAATGTAGCTCGATAGAAAGCTTTCCAGAAATCAGTAGTATATCTCCACTTGTAACAGCCAATTTACATGGGGTTTTAAAAATACTTGTTTAAAGACAAGCTAAAGACCAAAGCATACTTGTTCTCTGACAATCTCTTTTTAAAAATAATACTTATTTTTTCCCCAGTCACATATAAAGACAATTTTAAACATTCATTTTCTAAAAAATTTGAGCTTTGAATTTTTTCTTTCTCCCTCACCTGCCCCTCCCCCAAGACAATAATCTGACAATCTCTTTAAAGAACTTTATTTTTAAAGGCAACAACTGGAAATGGGATGAAAACTATCAACAAGGAAACTGAATCTATTTTCAGCTTTCTGGGTCCAATTTGGAGACACATGCCCCAAACAGAAACAACTCTGAAAACAAGTGTTAGACCTCCAATAGGAAAATGTCAGAGGCAGTCTTGATAAAGGGACTGCTCCAATACTCTAAGGATGGCAGAGTTCATCCATAAGGGCATTCCCATGACCAACAGGGAACCCAAGCCTTCTATGCCTACTCTTGTTTGCAGCCCCAAAGCTCTGCTCCCTGAGGCTTCCAACCTGGGGAGGCTGGGCTTGGGGTGAGAGATAGACCATCAATCACTAGGCTTATATTCAAAGCCTCCTGAGTTTGGAATGACCTTCCAGAGCTTATGCTCTCTGTTGGTACAGCTATTTAAAACTCAAGGTAGCCTCTAGATCACAGTGCTTATTCTGGGGAGAAAAGTCAATGCCCTAACTACAGCCCAGAAAGAAGCCATCTATCCCTCTTCCTGCTCCTGTACAAATATATCCCCAATTACTACGAGGTTCAACAGTGGTAGGGGCTCAAGCAGAATTTGGGGAAGGCAAAAACATGTGATTTTTCTGTCCACATAATTGAACATGTGCATGTCTATAGATTAGGTTGACACACATGTCCAGGAAGGAATGACAAGGCGGGGCGCTATAAAGAGTAGAGATGCTAAGGCCTATATACCTGTGGGATAGGACAAACTAGCCAACAAAATACAAGGTATTAAAACAGACAGGCCAGAGTGTAAAGATCTTTTTCAATGGTGTATCCAATTCATTTGGAGTCTGAATGTTTACTAATTTCCTCATACAGACATGACGTGCTATCCGAGGGACTAAACTCCTTTAGAACCCTAGATGTGATCATATCACCATGGCTTTTATAAACCTTCCTCCTTATCCTCTCCAGGTAGACAGACTCACTGTCTGTCTCCTCTGGGCAGGACAGGAGCCCCCAGAATGTCATGGACAGAGAAGGGTTTTTCTCTTCAATGCAAAAACACAGATTCCGGTGGCACCACTACCTCCGTGTGTTATAGCACTGATCAAGATGACAGGCCTACTCTGATGAGGACAACTCTCCTTCAAAGAGGTGATGTTTATTCTACTATTAAACAGGAGAAGTGGTTTCAAAAATTAGGAATATACCTTTTTTTTGGGAGAGGGGCACATAAGAAAGCCATTTATTTAGGTTTTTAAAATATATTGTATCCCCTGCCCAACTAATTACGTGTAAAAATAGCTTTCAACATTTTTAAAAAAAAGTTTTAAGTTCCAAATTCTATCCCTTCATCCCCTTCCTCCTCCCTGAGACGGTAAGCAATCTGATATAGGTTACACATATGCAATCGTGTGAAACATCACCATACTGTTCGTTTTGTACAAGAAGACTCGAACAACACAACAAGAAAGAAAGTGAAAAGCAGCACCTTTCAGTCTGTATTCAGAAAACACCAGTCTCTTCTCTGGAGGCAGACAGCACGTTTCATCATGAGTCTCTAGGGACTGTCCTGGATCAGAACAGCCATGTCATTCACAGTTGTGGCTGTTACTGTACAACCTTCTCCTGGTTCTGCTCACTTCACTCAGCATCGGTCCATACAAGTCTTTCCAGGTTTTTCTGAAGTCAGCCTGTTCATCATTTCTTACAGCACAATAGTATTCCATTGCATTCATATACCACAACTGGTTCAGCCATTCCCCAAAGGATGGGCATCCCCTCAATGTCCGAGTCTTGGCCACCACAAAAAGAGCTGCTATAAATGTTTTTGGAGTACGACATTACGTTAACGTCAGATTCAACCAACCTCTCAGAGTGTTGTTTTACCATAACCCTATGAAACCTTTCATGCAGGTCCCATTTTGGAGGTAATTTTCCTTAGAACAGACATTTCTCAAAGCCACATTTTTTTTTCCAGAATGGCAATTCCCAGAAGGTAAAGGCTCCTGGTTTTCTTTACAGATGTGTATAATTCAGCTGCTGTTCCTCGTCCTTACTTAGGGAAGAGCAGCGACACCCCTGGGGTAAAGTGCGGTGTGTTGACTGTGGCTGCTCAGTGCAGCCTGAGCTCGGAAGGCTCGACCGCAGGCTGGGCACAAAGAGTCTGTCTGAACACTTGGGGGGAGACAGAGGCCTCTAGGTCTGTGCACCTCATGTGACATTTCCTTTGTGTTACCCAGAGTCTGCTTTGCTCAGAGGACTGAGCCTTCTGTGCTGTAGGCATGCCAGGCAGGGTGGTCCCCTCCCAGAATCTCCTACATGTCACAATGACGGTAAAGCTCTTCGAAGAGATCCTGGGAGTGTCCTTGCACCACTTCTGCCCTCTGTGGGAGTTCTCCATGAAACAGTCTCTTCTGTAATCGTGCGTTTGGCACTTGGGCTACTTGGTCAGTCTACTGGGATTGCGTTCTCTGCAGTACAGCCTGGACGCTTGGCAGTTCACCTTGAGAGAGGACCTCAATGTCTGCTGCCTTATCTTGCTGCAGATGACTGCACACCTAATGCAGTCTCTGAGGCCGAAATGGAACAGAGTGTGTACAGATCGATTCTCTGCTGCTTGTACCAACTCTGGCCTGACAATTAACATCAAGCAAACAGGTTCTCCACCAGCCAGTACCACAGCCACCCATATGTGTAACCATCAGGTACAGCAAATGGAGAGAATGTGAATGCTGTTGATAATAAGTTCACTTACCCAGGCAGCATACTTTCTAGGGACAGACACGTAGATGACGAGGTTGATGCACGCATTGCCAGGCTAGCTCAGTGTTTAGAAGGCTCCAAAGGAAAGTGTGGGAGAGAAGAAATATTAGACTGCCTCCCAAATGGAAGGTCTACAGAGCCACTGTACTGACCTAACTGCTGTATGCTTGTGAAACCTACCATGCCAAGCACCATGCCAAGAAACGGAATTGCTTCCACCTGAATTGTCTGAGGAAGATTCTGAAGATAATTTAGTAGGCCAAAACCAAAGGCCTTTCTTTTGCTGCTGTCTGCTTATCAAACTCTATGAAATAGCCAAGGTCAGCTCCATGGTTCAACATTAGTTTTTGCCAGGGCACAGACACAGTGGCACCCATGACCGGCTGAGCCTGAAGTTAGAGGAAGTGACAACGGTGAAGCACAAGTGCTCGCAGGCCTTCCCAAGTGAATAAAGCCTTAAGAACAGGCCTCATGATGACCTGGACACCTGACACTTGAGGCTCAGCTTGCTGAGGGTTAGCACTGAATCGTCTAGATGATGACTTTTTGGGCTCTAGTTTCTCGTGAAACACGGACAGGCTGCAGACCACACTGGTGAAGGGAGCAGGGCCCCTGAGGAAATCACACAACTTTCAAAGTATTTCCAACCTGATGGAGCAACGTTACTGCTGCCAGAGGGAAATGAAAGCTGTCATCCAGAGTTAAAATTCCCAGAGAACCTCATGGTATCGCTGGATGAACACAGGTCTGAGCCACAAGATGGGCTCTCAGGCTTGCTTCGAGGCTTCTGGGAACAAACTGAGACAATGTTACTACGCCATCATTTTTAGGTTGTGCCCCAACAAAACCAAGGGCTTTGGTATTACAGCATGCGATAAGGGCCCTTAAATTTGGAAAACTATCATCCTAAAAAATGTTCTTTACCCTTTTCTTTCTTTTTTTTTTTTAACTTTATTTTTAGGTAATTGGGGTTAAGTGACTTGCCCAGGGTCACACAGCCAGTAAGTGTCTAGTGTTTGGTCTGAGGCCGGGTTTGAACTCAGGTCCTCCTGACTATAGGGCTGGTGCTCTCTCTACTGCACCACCTAGCTGCCCCTCTTCTTTACCCTTTTCAACGTGCAGGAAAGCTCAGTTAAGTCACGGCACAACACAGAAAGGGACAGAGAGAATGCTACATTCCACTCTAGAAATGAGTCTCTGGGTTTAATTCCAATATAGTCCACTTGAAGCTGCAAAGCCTTTAATTGTTACCACAGTGGGAAGCAAACCAGCAGCATGTCCCCAAAGCCAAAGCTAGCTGTCAGATACAACTGTCCGCGAGTGAAAGACTCTCCCAGGCCCCAAGAGTAGCCGTCACACAGGACTAGGGGCTCGGGACAAAGGGGGAGAGCATGAAGAGGCCCATAGTCCTTTGCCTGGCCAGGTGGTCCAGTGGTTAGAGCTATATGGCACCAGGAAGACAAGAATTCAGATCCAGACTCAGACCTTTATTAGCTGCCAAGTTACTTTTCTGAGTTTCCATGCTGGTAAAACTGGGATAAAGAGAGCACCGATCTCACAGGATGCTTGTGAAGATCAAAAGATCAAGCATGTGAAGCTTTTCAAGTCTCCCAGGGCTGCAGAGATGCCAGCTGTTATGTTAAAGAGCACAAAGCTCCTGAGCACGTGGGAGACGATGCCCTCCCATGCACGCCAATCATCACTGAGAGAAATGTCAAATTTCCCATTGCATCACCCATGGTCTGTACCACCCAGCTCCATGGGACCACAAAAGGACCTACGATTGTAGCTTTTAAAACAGAAGTTTTAAAATGTTCTTTGAATAAACAATTTTAAATCCCAAGGATCTTTAAGCTACTATCATTTGTGGCTAGTAATGGTAGACTCCAATTACAGTTTTTCTTACAGGCAAATTATTTCTGTTGTGTCTTAAAATCCAAAAGATAAAAATTACAGAAGTCTGATGAGCACACCACAAAACTTTCTTAAAAATCCAAAAGATAAAAATTACAGAAGTCTGATGAGCACACCACAAAACTTTCTTATTGGCACAAAATAACAGTTTAAAAATAAAACAATTTTGTATTTAAAATAAACAAGACACTGGTTATAGGGGGTGTTATAATTAATTTGAGGAAAGAATGTATTATTTTCAGGGAAGAGAACATCTGTATATGTAGAAACACGTATGTTGCGAATAAAACCCCCAGAGGCCCCTTGGCTCTTTTTTGCTTTCCTTCTCCTCTTTCCAAGCCCATCCAGCCCACCCAACTTACACGCTCATACTCATCCTTGGCTTTACTCAGCATCTCTAGGATGTCCATGGGTCTCTTTTCGCGGTGTCCATTGGCTCGGCTGGGGCTCTGCCTGTCACTAGCAGCCTGCTGGCACCTCTGGGTTTCCTGCTCCACCACTCTAAAAACAAGAATTTAAAAGTGTTTGTCAGCCATATAATCTGCCCTTAGAACATCTTGGAGGCACAAACCTTGGAAGGAGACAAGTCTAACCAGCCAATCCATTTAGAATGATGCAAACCCATTTCACATTTGGTAAGCTATAAACACAGAACTGACATGTGTGCTATTTTTTTAAGGAGTAAGCAATAAACACATATGTGAAACTTTCCACTTATGTGCATTCTTTTCACCAGAAGGATCTGAAAGCAAGCCAGACAATGTGCACCGGCAGCAGTAATCCTGAATTTAGACAGGATCAGTGGAGACGAAGGGGAAACGTGAAACACTCTGTAGTAAACTAAATAACAAACAATAATACACCCCCCCGGCCCCCTCCCACACCAGTTGTTCAGAAGAACGACTTGCGTACCCAACAACGACAGGCTTGCACAGAATGAAATGGAGAAAAAAGTTTTCCAGAAAGAAAAAGAAAAGGGGTGGGCAGCATCTGGGTTATACCCCAACCCCTGACAACAGTCATGGGCATTTCAAGCAAAGCGAAGCCTAAAAGCTCTCAGTGTTCTCCTCCTAACAGGAAGAGGACTCTTGCACCTGCTGACGTCCAGACGAGGCTGCCTGGCCAGGCCAGGGCTCTTCTCTAGGCCCACGTCAATCTCCTGGGGGAACCCCTCCCTGCTGACTCACGGCTCTTGGAGCTGAAGAGCCAGATGGAAGGATGGAGAAGGATTTTAAACTCTGGGATAAGTCTGAGCCATATTCCATTGGAGATGCACATGGGTTTTCATCATATCACCATGCGATCCTGGCCCAATGGGCAGTCTGCAGAGTTGGACAGATAGAGAGGAATGACTGAGGTGTACCGAGCTGGCTAAGGGGCTTCCCGAGGCAAGGCGGACAGAAAATTGTCAGTGGGCTTATTTGCTACAAGATATAATCTAGAGGATAGGGAGAGGGCCTGGGCAGGCTCCATGACCCCTTTGAACTCTGCTTGTGTTTACTGTTACTTGTAAACGAGGAGTCTGGGGCAGGAGACGCTGCTCGGGGGGGGGGGAGGAGCAGAGAACCTGAGACAGAACCATCTCATGGAGCTCTAGCTTGAAGATGAAGCAATCGAGAAAAGGGTGAGTTCGCTGGCAATCAGCATTACTCCTTAAGAGTTTGAATCTACCTCAGACACTGACTAGCTGCACAGCCCTGAGTGAATCACTTACTTAGCCTTCCTCAGGCTCAGTTATCTCATCTATAAAGTGGGGGTCATAATAGTATCTACACATAGTTGTTGTCAGGATCAAATGAGAAAATAGATGTAAAGTGTTTTACAAACCTTCAAAGTGCCATAGAGGCTAGCATTTATTGTTATTGATAAAGTACTATATCAAAACCTATAAGGAACCCCAGTCAGAAAACAAATGATGGAAAAAAGGAAGTGGCCCATTGTGCCGGGAACACGTGACAGGGTACATAGAGGGTCCAAGGCATTCACTGCCATTGACACATTTTACCCAAGGGACTAAAGGAAGGTCTCCCCAAGCTCAGTGCGTCGGATACAGAGGCTTCATGGGAAGAAAAAAAAGGCCCAGGATGAGATAATGCGGATGGGATGCAACCTGCCCAGGCAGAGGGAATGGAGAACCCCTGAGAGTGGAGCTGCTGAGTTTACGTATGTGTCGGCCTACTGCCTGATACAAATTAGGACTGGACTGAAGGAGATCACAGATCCAAGTACTGAATGGAAAACCTACTGCCCATGGTGGGAGAAGAGGCATTTCCTCTTCCCTGCAGGTCCTCTAGCAAAGGCTGGAGGACCAATTGTGGGCCAGGTTGTTTCCCTATCAGCTGGACTTCACAGCTTCTGAGGTTCCTTCTAACTCTATGATCTGATGGGGCCAAGAAATGACTGTATGACCTTACACGCAGGATTCCTCCATTAGGAGGTCAGATGAACCGATTACATCTTCTCCTACGAGGGACAAAAATGGTCAAGAGAACAGCCCCATGCCTTCCTTCTCTGGCCCCATGCATGGCTTCCTGCCTAGCTCCTCATGGCCAGGAGCGCACAGCCTGCTTGGGTGCCCGTTCAAAGCAGTGATGATGACCAAGCATAACGTCAGACCAACTGCGTCTTCCTGCACGCACGGCTCTGTGATGCCAAGGACCCGAGCATTTCCAAAAATTAAGTTGAATGTGGGTCCAGGAACAGATAAATTGGGAAAGGTTTTTCATTTTATTAAAGATCTTGGAACAAATGGTTTCCTATTTCAAGAAATTTTTCCTCTCCTGCAGCTACCAAAATGACAAGAGGTGATTTTCACTGTCCTGGCCCCGACAGCCTTGTTGGTGTGGAGACACAGGGTCCTTATGCTACCCACCTAAGTCTTGCTTCACTCTCCCAGAGGCTGCACATTCAACTTAATTTTTGGAAATGCTCGGGTCCTTGGCATCACAGAGCCGTGCGTGCAGGAAGACGCAGTCGGTCTGACGTTATGCTTCGTCGTCATCACTGCTTTGAACAGGCACCCAAGCAGGCTGTGCACTCCTGGCCGCGAGGAGCTAGGCAGGAAGCCATGCATGGGGCCAGAGAAGGAAGGCATGGGGGCTGTTCTCTTCACAACGAGCCTGAGGGCTGGTGCTCTTATTATCCCCATTTTACAGAGGAAGAAACTGAGACAAACATGACTTGCTTGAGGTTACCCTGTCTAGGCCCAGCGCTCCCTCCACGCAATGTGGTGCCCCCTGTGGTGGCCTGCTCTAGTGTTGCTGCATCTCTAGCCACACCCAGTCCACTCCACTCTGCCTACACTCCTGTGGCTCACTTGGCCCCAGAGGAAAGCTGGGAAGTGTGGGACGCAGGGCAGCAGCCACTTCTCCTGCAGACAGATGCACTGGTGGCCCACCACACGCACAGGCCCTGCTTGACACGCACGCGGATCTTTCGCACTTCCCATAGGTCTGTGGCCTCCCTTGCCTCCCCACAATCTCCGCCTTCAAGGACTCACAGGGGTGGCCCAGGCCAGCATTACAGGCAGTTGCTTTGCAGCGGCTCACAGTCTCAACAGACAAACAAAAAGCAAGGCTGCCCGTGAATCCTTGGAGAGGAGACGTGGCAGCGATAAGGAGGAGCTGCCTCCCATCTTTAAATGAACCCCCTCTGACTTGCTGACTACTTGCAGGGGCAGGGCCAGGGAAGCCAGCAGCTGATGGCTCCCTCTAGAGCACTGGGCTTTCCGTGTGCAACTTTTCATCTGGGTCTCTTAAGCAAGAAACCTCCCAGACCCTTACAAAAAGTCACTCCTAAAAATGCGAATAACTTTGGGACTGAGATGGCACCGGTCATTCATGCATTAGTGCGAAGTCATTTGCAACTGGGGGTGGGGGAAGACAGATGTCAGCAGACAGCCAGGGCTGGGCAGGAAGCAAGAGCCCCAGAGAAGGGGATGGGGAGGTGGAGGACAGGTCTGACCCAGAGGCCTGCGCCCAGGAAGCGGGCAACCAACTCATTCCTTCTGTGCCTGGGACCCAGGACTCAGATTCATTCTAGTCACAAGACAAAGAGAAAAAGGCAGGATACCGAATGTTGAACTCATAGGCTAGTTGTGAGAACAAAAGGAGATCATTTAAATAAAGTGCTTCGGGAAATGCCAGCAAAGTCAGGATTTTTTTTTTTTTTGGCTAGGCGGTGAGGTTAAGTGACTTGCCCAGGGTCACACAGCTCGTAAGTGTTATGTGTCTGAGGCCAGATTTGAACTCAGGTCCTCCTGACTCCAAGGCCAGTGCTCTATCTACTGTGCCACCTAGCTGCCCCAAGCATCACGATTACTGTCAGTTAAAATGTGCCTTTATGGGGGGCAGGTAGGTGGTGCAGTGGATAGAGCTCTAGCCCTGAAGTCAGGAGGACCTGAGTTCAAATCTGGCCTCAGACCAAACACTTGACCTGTACTAGCTGTGTGACCCTGGGCAAGCCACTTAACCCCAATTGCCTAAAAAAACCAAACCAAAACAAAAAAATAACATGCCTTTATGAGCCAGGCTTGGAAGATGACCATCATTTTGTAAGAGTTTCTAGGGCCGGGGTTCTTAACCTGGAGTCCATGGACTTGTTTTTTTTTTCCTTTTTCTTTATAAAATATGTTGGTAACTTTACTTGAATACAACAGGTTTCCTTTGTAATCCTCTAGCTCAAGCCACCAATTCCCAAATAAACCTGCTGTAAACAGAACCATGGTCCAAAGCATCTTCCTGGGAGAAAGGGACAGTAGGGAAAACATTCATTTCTCATAGATTAGTCAGACAGCTGTGGAATTAAAAGGGGGATACTTACTTGGCCATGAGTTTGGCTATGCGGTGACAGTCATTCTTGTCATAAAACCAGATACTGTAAATTGACACTTGAAAAATAAAAAAAAAAATTAAAATGAGAAAAAGAACTTCACAAATGATCAGGAATCAATGGACAGATCAAAGCAACCCATGACCATCAAAAAGTAACTTGGAAGACACTGTCAACCCTACACGTGGATTGGTAGAGAACTCATGGGGATGGGATCTGAATCCCTGAAAGGAAAAACCCTGGACTTTCCCACATGGCCAAATCTCTGGTCACCTGAAGATACAATCCTATCAACTGGCCTTTCATTGTGGCTATACCCAATCTCCCAATTCTGGCCTGTTACCTCCCAATTGCCCCTGGCCACTTCCTACCCTTAATCCCAGTCTCCATTCTCCCTTGACCACGTGGTCCAGGTCCCTGGTGTTCTGTTCACCCCAGCTTACTGGCCACTCCCATCCAGATCCTCCTTAGACTCCTCCTCCAGTCTCCCCAAAGTCCTTGGCCAGTCCTGGACATATGCAGTCTTTCTGTATATAAAATTCACCTTGTCTCCATTAAGGTGCTGAGATTCTTAAGAGTCTAGCCAAGGACTCAGAGTCTTAAGAGCTGGCCTATTTGCATTAACGATTCAAATGCTTAGATTCCTTAGGAGTCTGGCCAATATGCTGGATGTTCTAATAAACCTTATGTTTGGCTGAAAGTTTGGGTTGAATTCATTTGGATAGGACCCACATGTTGTGATTTTGGGTCCCAGCACCTCTAAACCTCAACAGAACTAAGTTTGCCCATGAAAAAACACCTGTCAGAATTGAGATGGCCAACATTCACAGGAAAAGTCATTAAGTGGTACACATTACTAATTGATACGTTTTCAACAACCAATAGGACAGAAAAGCATTGGAACCCCTGAAAACTGCCTCCAACTTGGAGTAGAATCATTTCCAACAAACCAAAGCTCGGGAGAGACGCTCCTTGTCCCAAGAACCACAGCACCTGTGACAAAGGATTTCTCATAAATTTTATGGCTGAAGATGAAAACAGGCCATTACAGTTTATTGCTGTGTGGTAAAAAAAAATCATTCATGTTATTTGAAAGATCATAGAAATGATTTTGGAAATGTAACGGTCAGAGGAGGGGCAAAAGGCCAATGACAGGGGAAAGGACTCCTGGGTAAAAACTGCACCTGATGATTTCTCCCCGTTTTTTGCATGCTGTGGTAGGGAGGGGGGAGTGGGAGAGCTGAGCTGAGCTGTAGTTACGGACCAACCAAGCAGAACATCATTTCAATGTAGGTGTTTCCCCTTCCCTGCCCCCACTGGCGCTGGCAGCTCGGAAAGGTAGGCCCTTGTCCTCGCCTGCCCAGGCCCTACGGGGCCAGCCCTGGGGAGTTTCAAAGAACGGATTACAACTCATCTTCTACAGATGGAGCAGTGGCAGTGCACATGAGAGATGCCTTTGTCTCTCAAAGTGTAACTTTGTCCACTGCAGCTCGGTTTTATGAGTTTTAACTGATATTTTATATTTTGCACTTAAAATTTCAGGTAAAATGATTAATGAAACAGAAAATTTGTGAATAAAATTTAGTAATTCCTTAACAAAAATTTGCTAGGTATCGTACAGACTGAGAACTGGGAAATGGATCTGGGATTTCTTGATTTAACAACCTCCTAGGTGAGAGAACTTCCTTGAGGAAAGCAGGGCAGCACCTTCCGAGAAGGTAGGTGACTTGCCCAGGGCCGCCCAGCCAGTTTGTGTCAGAGGCAGGATTTGAACCCAGGTCATCTTGGCTGCAAGGCCAGACCTCCATCCGCTGCACTGCACAGAATGTGGGGGGAAAAAACCAGTGCAAGCACAGAAAGTGCAAAAGAGGATTCGAGAAATGGCCTAAGCAGAAAATACGACCGCAGCCCGGAGGCAGGGCTGCGGCAAGCTCATCTCAGCACTACAGCCGCAGGCTGGATGCCCTCGGTTAAGAGGAACTGTTTTAACGGCACTAGACTTGTTCTGGAAAGTTCTCATCTGCAAATTACAATAATAAAAAAAAAGATCCTTTGAAACAGTAAGCTGTGTAACAAGTTTTGTTTCTTAATAAAGTCTATCAACCCAAACTCACAGGCTTCCAGTGCCTGGCACATAGTAGGTGCTTTCACAAACATCCACTGACTGATTCCACATCGCCTTTGCGCTCTCCTTCTCGCCAGCTCTACAGAGGCAGCCTCTGGATGCCGAGAACACACAACCAGGCTCACGGCAGCAAATGTCCCAGCAGTGCATGTCTTCCAACTGTCACATGATCCACACAGCTAAGCCAGGCAGGAAGAAACATCTGCATCAAACCCAGGCTCAATCAATTGTCTTATACCAATGTACCATGAGAGACGCGTTTTAGGGGCAGCGAGGTGGCACAGTGGATAGAGCTCTGGCCTTGGAGTCAGGAGGACTGGGGTTCAGATCTGGCCTCAGACTGTGTCACCCTGGGCAAGTCATTTAACCCCAACTGCTTCACCAAAAAGCAAAAAAAGAGCCACGTTTTTATGATGTTTGTGTGTATATCTATGTGTACACATACACTCTCTCAATCATGAAAGACTTAATAGCTCTGATCAATAAGTCTTTTCCGGGGCTATTAAAATAGCTCCTCCTACCTGGGGCACCCAGACTGACATAGCCTTGCTGCAGTCCGAATGCCAGAGCTGGGGTTGTATTTTCTGCTCAGGCCATTTCTAGAATCCCGCTCTGCACTTTCTGATCAATGACCACCCATAACGCTGGAAGACCAATGATGAAGAGCTATCCCACCTCCTGACAGAAGTGATGGACTCCACATGCAGAATGAGACATACTCTTTTGGATATGGCCGATGCAGAATTTGTTTTGCTTGAATATGAATGGTTTTTACAAGAGTTTTGTCCCACTTTTTCTTCCACCCTGAAGGGGCAGGCAATCACACACACACACACACTCTCACAAATGAGGCAGGCAGCTGGATGGCTCAGTGGATGGAGCACCAGGCCAGGAGTCAGGAAGACCTGAGTGCAAATCTGGCCTCAGACAGTCACTAGGCATGTGACCCCAGGCAAGTCACTTCACCTCTATCTGCCTTAATCCACTGGAGAAGTAAATGGCAAGCTACTTCAGGATCTTTGCCAAGAAAACCCATATGGGGCCATGAAGAGTAGGACATGACTAAAGAACTGGACAACATATATATGTGTATAGGTGTTGTGTGTACACACACACACACACACACACACACACCACACGGAGGGATGTATACATGTCTAGTGTGCCAAGTCTCAGCACAAACTTATCAAATCCATCACTTGAAAGTTCATTTAAATTTATTTTATACTTTTGCAACTTTGGAAATTTTGAAGAATAACACTTTCGTTCTAATTTCAACAAGGCAGAGCGCCCTGCTGTTGCTGGTGGAAGCCCTCTGCCCAGCCGCTCTGGTCACCGGCTCGACCTCCCTTAGAGGGTCTGCAGCACAGTCACACCAAACCGCATGGATACATCAAAATCCTCAGATAGTCTGAAGTCTAGGGTTACACATACAAGCCTTGTGGCAACTGACCAGCAGCTGATCAAAGTGTTTCCAAAACTCAAAAATTATAGGATTTTAATAGGAAACACATCAAAAATTTTAAAATTTCAAATCATTAAACTTTCAGACGTTGCCTTTTTCATTTTTGTAGCATTTGTACTACTGACATTATCAAAGCTCCAAATTAGCCCAAGACTTTGGGGAAGGACATCTGAAACTTTTCATTTATCTGAAATACAAAACTTATTCTGCATATGGCGTCCGTCACGTCTGCGAGGGATGGGACAGCTTCCTTCATTGGTCCTCTGGAGCCGTTGATTCTTTCACAACCGTTCATCTTTACAATGTGGCTGTTACTGGATGAAGTGTTCTCCTGGCTGGATCATTTCCTTCGGCACCAATTCAGAGAGTCTTTCGGCTTTCTCTGAAACCACGTGTTTCATAATTTCTTCCAGCCCAAAATATTCCATTACTTTCACCTGCCATAGTTTGTGTAGTCACTCCCAACTGATGGGCATCCTTTTTAATTTCCAGTTCTTTGCCACCACAAAAAAGCTGCTATACCTAGAATGTTGGGGGTTTTTTTGGGTATAGATGGATCCTTTTCCTCTATCTTCCCCACCCTCCGCCCATCTCCTTGAAGCACAGGCCCAATAGTTACCCTGACACTTTATAGGGTAACCCCAATCAATGATCCCATCATTTCTGAGCACTGTCCACATGATCTGAACAAGTAACTGAAGGAAAAAAAATCGAAAAGAAAATCTCATACTCCAAGGGAACTTTTATTTCTACTCTATTGGTTGATAGGTCAGAGCTTATGTTCATTGTAGTCTTCAGAAAAGGGGTTTTGGGGAAATATTTCAAATAAACAAAACCCCCAGTTCTCCTAAACTCCCTCCAACCCAGCTGAATATTGATTCACTGACTGCACCACTCCGTTCAAAATTCAGTTGAGGCCACAAAGAACAAGTCCTAAGCTGGTGTTTTCTCCAAGGTTTCCTATGTCTGGGCCCATCAATGTAACTTGATGAAAGTTTCAGATGCAGAATTTGTCAGGATGAACAGGACACATATTTTTTGTGACAGAGCAATTAAATGTTTTCATGAGGAACTTTAAAGAAAGAATTAAATATTGATCATCAAAATAATTCAATCACAGCTGACAACTTGTCATGACACTTTGTCTTCATTTTGGCCATTTTTTCTCCTTCTGCAGAAACAGAAGCATCACCACAAAGGGACTGTGTCCATGTTATCAAGAAACCCTTTCCCACCACCTGACGCCCCTAAAAAGCTTTTTCAGAAGCCTGTTTGCTGAAGAAAGGAAGATAAGCAACTTGAAATGAGAGCTTAATGGGGGGAATGATAAGAGTCACACTCCATTCTGCCAGAAAGGGCTCTGCAGAGGTTCAGCTACGCTTGCCAAAATCCAACCCGTCTGCCAACGTGTCCAAAGCTTCACTTCCTGAGCTCGGCAGCGAGTCAGAGGGAGTTACCAGGAAGTCAA